AAGTCGATTTATATATTTTTCTTTCCGTTTTAATTGCCAGTGAGGAAGACAGAACCAAGTATTAGCCTATTTGGTCAAACTTCTAAAATTTGTTTATTTTGAAAAATATTTGTTTCAAAAGTGTTTTTCAAAAAAGCACTTTTGGTGAGAATCGATTTGTGTTTGGCTAATTAGTTTGAAAAGCACTTTTGAGCAGTAATTAGTGTTTGACCAAGCTTTTGAAAACTGCTTCTAAGTGTATTTTTCTCAAAAATACTTCTCAGAAAAGTGCTTTTGGAGAGAAGATACATTTTTCTGCTTCTCAAAATCTGCTTTTGCTTCACCTCAAATGCACTTTTTTTCTTTAAAAGCTTGGTCAAACACCTCAATTTTTGGCTCAAAGTACTTTTGGCCTAAAAAAATACTTTTGACCCCAAAAAACACTTGACCAAACAAACTAATAGCCTGCTTGACCAAGCTTCTCAAGAGGTCAAAAGTGATTTTTTTTCTTTCTCAAAAACACTTTTTTCCCTAACTTGAGGTGTTTGGCCAAGCTTTTTAGGGGGGGGGGGGGGAATGGTGCTTTTGGGAAGAAGTACAAACAGTTTATGAGAAGCAGAAAAAATAGCTTCTTCCCAAAAGCAGAAACAGAAGCAGTTTTGACTTTTTTTCTTACCAAAAATATCCTTAACAAAATATAGTATAGACCAAAATAACCGTTAAACCTAATACTTAGGATATTAATGTATAAATATTTCTTATTATTTTTAGGATATCTTTCTAATATATAGTGACTTTAGGGGTGAATACTTTTATATTTGTTGAATGATTTTTAATATATTTAACTTATATTAAAAGAATTAAGTACTTTTAAATTTTATTTTCATATTTTACTTAAATAAAATGAAAAAATTTAATTATTTTCTGTAATAACAAATTTTTAAAATTATTTATTTACTTATAATATTAACTATTAAATAAATCTATTCATACCCTATTCGTAATTTGATACTTAAAAACACTTTTTAAAAAGTTTGAAAAAACACTTATCAAAATAAATTGATTTCTCTGGTTCGGCCAAAACAGCTATAATAGTCATTTAGTTCCTCAAGTGGTTCAAGTGGTAGTCTTGTATAGCACACCAAAGTAATCCTTTTAAGTCTTTGGTGTCCAAGTTGAATATGCATTAAATAGACGAGCTTTCGTTGACTTGCCTTTTCACCTGTCACGGTTCCTTGCCACTGGATTTATGATTCAACTAGCTCATCTTTCAATTACCTGCTGAGCAAGTTGTGATTGTCATTTAATTCGCTCAAAAAACGTACTGTCCAATTTAATTAATTTTTGATTATTTTTACACATACTAAAAAATTTACTTTTTAGTATTAATTAACAATTTAACTGATCATATTAACCTTAATTTGTCTATTGAAAATACAACAAATACTCCTAGTCTCTTTATTCCAAGAGCAATTTTGAAAAAAAAAAAAGTTAATTATTTCTTGATATTTAAAAAAATTAAATATTGTGGATCATAAAAAAATAATTTTTTTTTATTAAAGTAGACCGAAGGAGTACTAATAAAGAATAGTGGGATAATAATACACTTTCCGTTTGATAATATTTTGATGGTTTTCAAAAGTCATATTTCTAAGCTGAAATATGTCAATATATACTCTCTTTCTTTTTCTTTTACTTTCTAAACTTTTGTTTTCACATTTTGTAATAAGCAAGCGTATAAAATGTTGACCACTTCAAATTTTGAGAAATTAGAAAAATCAAGTCAGCGGGTAATGGGATTTGGAAAAATAATACGATAATAGGAGTACCTAAGATTATGACGCCCTCAGTTTTGAGTTTGACCAGTTGGGAAGGCATTCCTAATGCGTTCGGTGTACAACTAAAGTATGACGACCTTTATTTAGGTGACAGTGATCCAACTTTGATGTTAGTAAATAAATGTACAAAAGAAAGTAGTTAATATATAAACAAAGACCAAGTGAACAAAACAGGCAACTTTCGCTAAAGAATTCGTTCCATTATCACAAGGCCTCCCTATATATACCCCAGCCAAAACAATTAGCCTTGTTCAGATAACAGACTTTTGAAATTGGACCAAATCCTTCATTGGTTTAATTACTTCAAATTTGGTCATTTTCTTTTTGTGCAACTTTACAACAATGGTAGCAGCAGAGAAGCACGTCCATGATCTGCCAGAAGATTGCATTTGTACCATAATATCTCTCACTTCTCCAACGGACGTACAAAAACTGTCGTTGGTTTCTTCAACTTTTCGGTCAGCGGCAGCATTGGACTATGTCTGGAATGTTTTCTTGCCTTGTGATTGGCAAGATATTACAAGAAAATCAGTCACCCTTTTGAAGTACTCTACAAAAAGGGAGCTTTTTCTCTGTCTCTGCAATTCTATTCTAATAGAAGGTGGCAATAAGGCAAGACGTAAATGACTCATATATATATATATATATATATATTGGTAACCATTTTCTTGTGACAATTAAAACGTATAATTGATCATTTTATTTTCTTGTTTCAGAGCTTTGCTTTAGATAAATCAACCGGGAAAAAGTCATATGTAATTTCTGCAAATGAGCTTTCTATTTTATATGGAGATGAACCAGATCATTGGAACTGGAAAACTATCCCAGAATCAAGGTAAATACACTTCTTCTTTTTTCCACATTTCCTAGCAGAGTATAAAAGATTAAATTTAATAAAATGCTATTTATAGGTTTGCGGAGGTAGCTGAACTGAGAACAATATGCAGACTAGAAATACAGGGGAAGATGAAAACAGGGGAGCTATCTCCAAACACAATATACGGAGCTTATCTACTCATGAAGATTTCAGATGGATCATTCGGGTTGGATTCTATTCCAACAGAGATTAGTGTTAGAGTGGGGAATCAAGAATTCGTCAACACTGCGTATATACGCCATCCAAGGGCAAGGAGTAAGAAAGAGAAACTAGAGTCTTTGTTTTACAGGAACAGAATGGAGATTTTGAAGTCAAGAGTAAACAAAGGGGAAGAAGGACTGCCTCGTGAAAGGGAGGACGGGTGGTTGGAAATTGAGCTTGGAGAGTTCTTCAATGGAGGAAATGGTGATGAAGAGATCACAATGAGGTTGATGGAGGTAAAGGGTTATCATGTTAAAGGTGGGCTTGTCATTGAAGGCATTGAATTAAGGCCTAAACGTACACTAGGGTAAATGAGTGTTATTATTGTAGGATAGGATGTATTTTTGTTTTCTTTTGTTATTCAATTGTTATTTATACCTTTTTTGTGTAAACCAACACGTTCTTTCATTTATTTTCTTCTTTTTTCGACAGAAAAGTGACATCATCAAACAATTAAATTTTTATACACCGATAATGTAAAAAAATTTACTATTAGATTATTTAAAAGATAATGTCAGATAATTAATTATTCATAATAAATACCTAAAAAATAACATGCAAATAATTTCTTGCCATAGCAGATTAAATTATACTGTTAAGTTAAAAGTTATTTATATCCGTGTGGAGGAGTTTGTTCTACCACTTTAGAGTCCTTTTAGTTGCAGCTTTAAAGATATATGGGGCAACAAATAGAACAAGAAAGATTTTAAGGTCGCTTCTTTTTTGTGACAGAAATACAAATGTAATAATTAGAAATGCAAAAAAATACAGGGCGACTTGTTTCTTGGATTAAAACAACCCTTCCTACTTGGTCTTAAAGTACAGCTCCATCTTCATACACAATTTTGTTTTCAGAAATTTTGTTCCGGAATAAATATTCGAAAACTTCTCCAAAAGATAATAAACATTTTCAGTAAAACTCTCCAAAGCCCACATAAAGTATTTTTTTCGCTTATCACATTTTTTTTTTTTTTTTTGCAATATACACAAATAATGTAAAAAAAGTTGTTATCAATATATTTTAACATGTTGTACAAGGTTATATGACTCATTGTTTAAGTTACTAATTCCACATATTACTAGTAGTTATGTGTAACTATATCTCGTATGATTTAATAGTGTACATTTTTTTTTACACAATTAAAAGTTAAACTCGCAACAATGTGAAGAAAGAGGAAATTTCTTTCAAAATAACAGCAATACAAGCATTAGTCAAAATTCAAACCATTCAAAAGCCATCAAATCCTTCAACCATTATGTTGACAGCCCATTGTTTGATACCATTCGAAACTAAAAACACGTGCTCAAATTTTATCCTTTCAAATGTTATTGTATAGGTCCTCGACGAGTCAAATAAAATTGACGAAAGATAATGGAAGCAACCAAAATTGACTGACAACTAAGATTATGGGGAACTTAATTTTCACACGTTTACTTTTCACGGGTTTTCCCCTTTTCCACCTTCTCTTTTTGCCAAAATTTCTTTGGTTAATTACTTTTAATATGACTGTCATAATTCGAAAGAAAGTTCCTAGAATTTTTGACGTTCTAATTACTGTCCTCCTCAANCCAATTACTCACAAATTTACCGTCTCAAATATAACACAGAAAATAGAAGTGAGTGCGCATTTCACTAAAGTCTCAAATTTCAATTGAGCCAATAACATTTTTCTATCGATTCACAGTATTCATTCTACCACAAATTCAAGTCATTATCCAAAAATATCCAAAAGGCGTAGAGAGGAACAAATGGTTGATTGTCCGTAGTACTCTCTCTCTTCACTTTTACTTGTCATGTTTTGACATTTCACGACACTTAAGAAATAATAGATAAAGTATATAATTTACCATGATACCTATATTAATTGATGTATATTTTAAATGATTTTGAAAAAATGATTTAAAATGAGTAATTAATGTTATGGGTATATCTGGAAAAAGAAATTGTCTCCTCTTGATATACTAAAATAACAAGTAAAAGTAAAAATCTATTTTTAGAATACTAGAGAACAAGTAAAAGTGAATGGAGGGAAATATCACTTTTAACACACCAACTCAACGGAAGGTTCGTTTAATTTGAACAATTCAAAGTTCCGTATTTTTAGACCTTAAAGTTAAAGACAACTCCACTATATATGCAAAGAACCAAACCCAACATTTCCAACAAAGTAACACTCGTATTTCAAACAAAAAAAGCAGCGGAAACCAACAAAAAAAAAGAAGAAAAGGAAGCAGTACATTGAAAAAAAGGCAAAGCCTTACTCTTTCTAGCATCTTCAATTGTGCTACCTTTTGTTTAAACAAGATAAAGTTGAAGGCAATGTCTGGGGCAGAGCTATTCAATCAATTGCCAGAGGATATCATTTGTTCAATTCTCTCTCTTACTTCACCTAAGGATACATTTAGCTTCTCGTTGGTTTCTTCCTCTCTCCGTTTAGTGGCAGCATCTGATTTTCTGTGGCAAACATTCTTGCCTTCCGATTACAAGCATATTATTGACAGATCTGTAACACCCTTGAAGTATTCTTCTAAAAAAGAGCTTTTTATTCGTCTCTGTAACTCCATTCTTATTGATAGTGGTAACAAGGTATGTATACAGTAACACAAATGTTATAGTACTATACTTTATCATTTTTGTGAATCTTCATTTTGGTAGTTGATATTAAAATTGGTTCTACGATCCAATTGCAGAGCTTTGCATTAGAGAAGTCAAGTGGAAGAAAATCATATGTAATCTCAGCAAAAGAACTTTCCATTTTATATGGGGAAGAACCAGATCATTGGACTTGGAAATCTGTACCTGAATCAAGGTTTGATCACTCGCTTTCCTTCCATTTAGCTTAGAAATAATTGGTATTCACAATATCAAAAAATCTTTTCCTACATTCTTGAAAGTTAACATACTCTGTTTTTCGCAGGTTTTCAGAAGTGGCTGAACTGAAAGTAATATGCAGGCTAGAAATAAAAGCCAACCTAAAAACAAACATACTATCTCCAAACACAAAGTATGGATTTTATTTCATTATGAAAATATCTGATCAGGCATTTGGTCTGAATTCAGTGGCTGCTGAGATTAGTGTAGAAATAGGCAATCGGAAAGTAGTTCAAAATTGTGTGCTGGACTCGATGGGAATGACAAATTTTGAAGAGAAACAGAGGGATCAAAGACTGCCATATAAAAGGGAAGATGGATGGATGGAAATTGAGGTTGGAGAGTTGTACAATGGTGGAGATGAGGAGGAAGTTACAGTAAGTTTGATGGAGGTGAAGGGTTGCCATGTGAAGGGTGGACTAATCATTCAAGGCATTGAATTTAGGCCTAAACACTAAGCAAAATTCAAAGATTCTTATCTACTCACTCACCAATATCTTTGATTTTTTTTCCGCAATAATATTATAAATTTATTGATTTATTTATCTCGTCCATGTCAAAGATTGGTGTGAAACAAAAAAGGTTAGATAATGAATGATTAGACTACTCTCGATAATGAAATACTTATATGGATTTTCTTCCGAGGTGACTCGAGTTTAGATGGGGGCAAAATCGATTTATTTGTAACTGGTCTAAGTTTATATAGGTTGAATTACCACTCGCTTATTGGCTTGACCCGATAGATTGTACATTTGATATGATGCATCCAAATAAGTCAAAAAAAACTAACCTGACATGTCAAATTCAATGTAAACTCGAGCATACAAAATAATTTTGAGATTGGAGATTATATCAATTTGATAGAATTTGGAAACTATATAAATTTGAAGATTGAGAAATTATGTCAATTCGTAAGAATTTACTATTATTTATAATTAATAGAAGTGGGAGTTGGGGGTGTACGAACATGGGCACTTTTGTAAATATGAATTAAATAGGGGTAAATTGATAATTCTTTAAATTCTTTTTCCCGCAAAGCACGTGTACTACACTTGTGTAAAAGTAATTTACCGTCTAAACATAAGATTGATACCCTATTCTCTTTATCCCTGTTCTCCATCAATGTTCTCTGTACAACTGATTCTCCGGTGAAGCTGCCAGATTTTCTTATGGCTAATTCAAGAAATTGTTGTGTCTTCGGCTCTTCTGACTGATTTTGCAAATGCATGTGAATAAGATGAGGCAAGAGACAAACGACTATTTTTTTCTTTTATCTTACCCATCTTATCCATAGTGATCTTATCCATAGTGATATGTGGGCGACTCATATTAAGAGGTAATGGATGAACTTCTTACTTTCTAAGAAAACTATTAATAATATTCAGACAAGGAAAGGGAAATGTTGATACAAATAAGGAAATTAGGGTTACAACACATGAAGAATGGGCCAAGTCTTATTGGACTACGCCTATTGGGCCTATAAGAATAAGGATGGAAGCCGCACCAATTATCCATTAGACCCAATTAGTGATAGCTAGTTAGATAAATAACAGAATGAGAGCTAAAGTAGATAGTTTTTACCGGCCACTACATTTCCTAACCACTTTTTCTCTCTACTCTCTCCTCTCTAACCTCTCTCCTTCTCTCTTCTTCTCTTCTTTCAAGTCAATTGCAGAGATTAGCTAATTGGGTCATATTGTAATCGACTGAGAGTGATTGTTCAATAAAATTTTTGTTCTTTTTTCATTAATTCTCATTTTTACTTTAGTACATAGCAAATTGGTATAAGAGCTTATCCTGGCCATAATGACGATTCCAGAAACTCGTTCTAAATCTACTAAAGATTACGTGAAGAAACTAGAAAATCAGTTACAGATTTACATGGCGGAAAAGGAGTAAAAAATTGGAAGCAAATGATTCAAAGATAGATGAAGTAGGGAAGAAATTGGATGTGATGATGGAAAGGCTTTTCGCGGGCAAAGATGGCATTTTGGGTAGTGCTCTAGTAGAAGTCAATCATTTCGATGGATCCAATAGTCGACCTAGATTTGCGGAGCAGAATGAGTACTCCATTGGTAGGCGGCAGCGAAACACGCATGGTCACAAGTTCGAAATTCCTTATTTTGAGGAGGGCGATTCCAGATCTTGGCTTCGAAAATGCGCGAGGTACTTTCTCTATAATCACATAACTGATCCCTAGGAGAAATTAAAGGCTGCTATTCTCCATCTCAATGGGAGAGCAGAATCATGGTATTTCTCTTACCATCTGAGCAGGGGTACTGTGAGGTGTCTTGAATTTGTAGAATAAATTAGCAAGAGATTTGAGAAATATGATAATAGTAACCTCAACCTCTTAGGAGAATTCAAAAAATTTGAGCAACAAGGATCAATAAATGAATACCTAGCGAGGTTCGAAGACTTAAAGGCTTGGGTCTTGATTAAACATCCTCTATTCCTGAGGAATTCTTTCTGGGATTCTTTGTTAAAGGACTCAAGAATGAAATCAAGCACACAGTTAAAATGCTTGATCCTTTCTCCTTGAGTCAAGCTATGGAGAAGGCTAAACACAAAGAAAAATTGTTAGAAGCAGTAGTTAAGAAAGGAAAAGGAAATAATGTAAGATACATGGGACAGTATAACGACAATAACAGCCAGGCAGGATTTAAAACCTCTGATTTTTCTCAAAAAGATGGAGGTTCTACTTCCAACAATATGGACAATAAGTTGTTTGAAACTAGAAAGGCAAGAGGTGAATGTTCTAGGTGTGGAGAAAAGTACTTCCCTGGTCATCAATGCAAGAACAGAGAGTTAAATGCATTATCTGGCATTATTGAACAAGGGGAAATAGAACTAGAAACTATAAAAGATGGTGTGGAGGAGTGTCAGGACCAACACGAGGCAATAATTGATAAGGACATAAGCCTCAATGCTTTATATGGGACAGTTACTGTCACACCTCATTTTTCCCGAGGGATGGGGAATTTTTTCCAATTTAAGTGACATTATTCTAAATGAGATTATTTATTTAATTTTTCAGAGTTGCCACTTGGAATAATTATTATGGTGTCCCAAGTCATCGATTTATTTTAAATCCCAAATCGAGGAAATTTGACTCTGGTTTTGGTCCGCGAATACAGAAGATCGAGTAAGGAATTCTATTAACCCGGGAGAAGGTGTGACGCACTTCCGAGGTCCGTGGTTTTAGCACGATCGCTCAACTATTAATAATTGGCCTAATTATCTGAATTTTTATATGTTTTAGAACACTTTGTGCATTACCGGTTTTATACCGCTTTTAATTATTTTAAACAATTATGGAGTTTATTTAAACAAGTCGTGGTGTCGCGCACTCGCTTGTCTTTGTACATATTGCGAATCGCGTCACGTGAAACTGTCACGACCCAAACTAACCCCTGTCGTGGTGACGCCTATCGTGGTACTAGGCAAGCCGACTCATTCTAAAATAAACCGATATTTTTTATTTCAAGGATAATTCCAAGGCTATTTAGCTTAAAACCCTTTG